CAATTGTTTTTTTCTTTTTTTAAGTGTAAATTGTCTTGTTCCATTGGCAAAGTGACTCACTTAAATCCTTATTTTAAGAAAAAATGACTTATTTAGATTTCATTTTTTTGCAGTGCAGCAATGGGGGGGTTCAGAAAGGTGGGGGCTAAACATCACCATGTTTAAAGGCAGTTAGGTCTGGTTCTGATGTCTCTAAACATGGTTTCTCGATACTTTGAGCTCCTCAGCTGGTTTTTCCCAAATGGGTCCCATAAAAGAAGGGGGCCGTAAACCGAAGCCCGATTATTGTCGATCTTTGAGAAAACTAGAGTAGGATCTCTAAAAGAATGCCGGCTCTGAAAGGAAACCAAATAACCAAAGTTCTCCGAGTCTGGCTAAGAGAAACACCCGAGCTGACCTGCAGATGAAATAAATCAGAGGAAAAAGGTGAATTTTCCACGTTGGCAAACTGAGTTACGCCTGAAAGACGTGATTTGAGGAGGAGGAACTCATCAAGAACATGGATGATCCAGAGCTGTTGGCGTAGTTCATCCATCTGGGTCCAAAAACTGAGATTTCAGATTCCAGCACGTATTTATAAGCCCCAAACATCTATAACTGCTCATATAGACACAAAGGAATAGATTCAGTTGCCATCTTTACATGATTGAACCTTCTTCTGGGAATCGGGTCAATCTGGGCTCAAGAATACTGTTCCTGTGCCTAGAACCGGTCCAACGATGCAGAGGCAGCATCCAGACCCTGAAAGTTCCCCCTCAGTGATTTATCTCTGGAATGATTGAGACGAGGATTCATCATCAAAGACCTGAAATAAGCAGAGAAAACGAATCTAAACACGTCAAACTTAAAGACCTTCATTCAGATGGATTTAATTTATTTACTAATTCAGTTCCTGAAACTCCTCCCACACAGAAGGACATATGCATCAAGCTTTTATTGCATCTGCATTTAAAAACTATGGCTGCATGAAATTCAGATTGTTATGAAAATATAGACCAAAAAAATCTCTATTAAATATAATTCCATTAAATTAAATGAATCTGATATAAGCTAAATGGGGTCAAAGATGATTGGGAGACTGTTGACGTCAGAGAAACCTTCAACTAAAGGTCAACCCTGAAGGAGTTTATTATTAATGGGGAACCGAGTGAAAGGAAAAAGTGTGGGAGAGAACGGCACGCTAGAAGAGGGGAAAATATCCCGCCTTGAAACGTCTGTAAAAAAAAAAAATCCTTTCAATAGTTTGGGGGATGTTTGTCTGGAGATGGAGGCGGATGGAGTCAGAACCTCAAGAGCCGACAAGCAGATATCTAGGACATGAAAGCTGCTGGTGTTCATAGAAAGTTAAGCGGAGGGGAACTTTAAGCAGATGTTTAAACTGGAAGACATTGACATGTGCATTAATCACCATGGCAACACCAGCAAATGGACCTCCTGGACCCAGGGGCAGATTTAGCAAATTCGGGGCCCTAGGCAAAGACAGGCAAGGGGCCCTCTGAATGGAGAAGAGAAAACATGAAACAGACCCATGATAGAGATAGATTAATGTTAATTATCTGTTCTAGGTTGTGTCCCTCTCTTCTTGTCCCTTTCCTTCGAGGAGAGTAGGAAGAGACTGCGGAGTTTACAAATCTCCACCCCACTCTGCCGGTCTTCAGCTTTCTCCTCGGTATTTATTAAAGTCAGGGGATTTCCCTAATTACACAAGCTGAGGTTTAACTAAAGGAAAGGGAAACAAAATTATCTTAAATTAAACCTCAGCACATATGTTAAAACAAAGCATTTGTTTTTTTTTTACAATTGAATTGTTCCAAGAACACATGT